CGGAAGATGGTGCAGAAGAAAACCGCCGAACCGGAGGGCTTCCACCGCTCGTTCAAGGTGAGGCCCGCGCGGTGGGGGCGGGCCGGCTGGCCGCCGAGCGGAGCCCCGCAGGAACCGCCCCGCCCCGGGTCTGGACTGGGGGTGCGCTGGTGGGGGGAGCTCAGCGGGAACAGACCGCCCTTACCGCCCGTGGGGGTCCTTCCTCCAGGGACCCTGGCTAGTACCCCTTGCAAGGCCCAGCTGGGTGTGCGCTGGTGGGCCCCGTCCCTACGTTCTTTTGGCCTCTGGGGTTCTTCCTTTTGGGACCCCAGGCTATGGGGGCTCCTCTTTGATGCTCCCTGCAAGCCCCAGTCGGGCTTTCCCCGTCCCGATCGCCCTGGGGGCGTCTTTCCTCAGGGAACCCCCAAGCCCGGCCCCTGGAACCCCTGGCTGGTGCCTCTTGCAAGTCCCGGCTGGGTGTGCACTGGCAGTGGATTGAGACAGCTGTATTATCATTCCCTCCACCCTGTGGCCCGTGAAGGCTCCTCCCTCCGGGAACCCCCAGCCAGGCTGGGGGCTCCCTGCAGCACCCAGGCAGCCTGTGAAATGAGGCTGTTTAGTGGACGCCCCCCAGCCTGCAGCCTCCCAGGCACCTCAGACGCCTTGGGCCCAAGTGCCATTTCCTGTCGGAGCGGGAGTTTCTGAGGCGACCGTGTTGGCTGCGAGGCTGGGTGGCAGATGATCAGATCTAGGGGAGGGCAGGGGCCCCGCGGGGCTGGCCCAGGGGACGCATGATGTCAGCGGCTCTGCCCCACCCGCGCGGCGGGTTATGTAATGGCCTCTTCGGGCAGGGACCTACTGCCCGGTGGAGAGGGCAGGGGCCTGGGTGTGTTTGTGACCGTGTGTGTGTGTGTGTGTGTGTGTGTGTCTGTGTCTGTGTGTGTGTCTGTGTGTGTCTGTGTGTCTGTGTCTGTGTCTGTGTGTGTGTGTGTGTCTGTGTGTCTGTGTCTGTGTGTCTGTGTCTGTGTGTGTCTGTGTGTCTGTGTGTGTGTGTACGTGTACACACACTCCCCTCCCACCGGCGGGGAGGAGCCAGCCGGGTTCCCAGGCCTGTCTGCGTCCCTGCCGCCCCACCCCTACCCTGACGCCTGTCAGCCTTGTTTCCCCGAGGGCCAAGGCGGAGAAGGGGTAGACATGAGCGGCCCACCGCCGTGGTCTGCCCTCTCCTGGGGCTGGGCAGGAGCAGGGACAGGGTCACTGCACAGGGCTAGCACCACCGTCAAATTAAACTGCATTTCTGGATGGTTCCAACTGCCTCCTGCCAAGGCCTGCTGACTCTGGGCCACAGCCAGCCCAGGGCGGGGCCGCCCACACCACCGGCCTGCCTTGGCCTCATGCAGGGAGGTCGGGGCCCTGCCGGGGGAGTCCACTAGGGACCAGTCACTGGAGGAGTTGGCTCCAGGACCTTCACCCCACCGTGCCGCAGAAGCATGCAGGGGCCACATCTCCTGTGTTGTGATTGTCTTCCCGTCATAAGGCGGGAAGGTGGAGGCCCAGGAGGACTGACGGGTGTCCTGGGTACCCCGCTCACGGATGACACAGGAGCTGGCCCTGCCGGGCACCCAGGCACCAACACCTGTCCTTCGCCTTGGTGCTTGTGGTTGCCCCTCTGAGCTGGAGTCTGGGACAGGCATGTGGGATGGAGAGCGGGCAGTGGGACGGGGGTCAGACCAGGATCCGGTGGCCAGCTGGTGCTGTGACCCTTAACAAGTCTCACGAGTCGCGGCAGCTTCCTGGTCTCCAAGGTGAGGGCGTCACCTGTTTCCTGGTGGTTCCCTTGGCTGTGCAGCTGCCCGGCCTCCCCCAGGTAGAGGTAGACGCCAGCCACCTCAGATGGGCTTCATTAGAGCACTCATTGGCCTCGGCGGCTGGCCTGGCTCATCGGTGTTGGCCTGACCCCATGGGGACCGGTCCCTCTGTGGGCTGGGGCAGGGGCTGGCTGGGGGCCCTTCCCTTCCTGGGCCCCCGCCTGGCCTCCTAGCAGCTATCTGGGTGACAGGCGGGTGGGAGCCACGCTGACCTCGCAGCCCCTCCCTGCTCCCCTGACCTCCGCCTGGCCCCCCACCTGGCCCAGCTGCAGAGGCCCCTCCCTGGTCCACAGGTCCTTCTGCCATGAGGCCCTTCTCCTGGGAGGACAGGTACAGGGATCCAGGTCAGGCAGAGCAGCTCCTCCTTGCTGGGGGCACTCCCACACCTGTTGGCTGGAGGCCCAGAGAGGAGCAGGCACTTAGCCGGATCCTCTAGCGTAATGCTGGGACTGGGACCCCCCAGCTACCACCGTCACCCCACCACAATGATAGGCCTTCGCACCCGCCTGGGGGGATAAGCCAGTATCTGACTTGTAAAGGAACCTCAGTTTCCCAACTTCAAAGGCCCAGCACCCTCATGCGAGGGGCCATCAGCCCCTGGTCTGCAGAAATGGATTTATTCAAGCACTTCTTCATTTGGGGGGATAGAAGGCTGCTTGAGGCCCCAGCTGCCTTCGTTCCCCATCTCCTGCCCAAGCGTGCTCTGGGGTGCGGGGGCCAGCGGCCAGGTGAGGCTGGGCCTGGCAGGTATGGGGTGGGTGGGAGTTGGGCCAGGAGAGGCTGCGGCAGCCACACTGCTCCTGGCAGATGAGGAGGGTGTGGACACACGGAGCTGGCCCCCCGGCGGCGGGCAGGGCTCCCACACAGGTGTGAGCTGGAACGAGGTTGGTCCCGGGCAGCAGGCAAGAAGGTGGGCTTCCAAGGGTGCCCGTGAGCTTCTGCCTGTAGCGCTTCTCCCAAGCTTCGGGCCCCCACCCAGGCGAGGAGGGGAGAGAGAGCAGCTTCCGATGGGGACAGCAATGGGGGAAACTGAGGCCCAGGCAGGCCCCGGGCTTGACCAGGTCCCTGGGGTGGGGCCCAGCTGCCCTCAGATGGGCCAGGTGCCGTGGGAAGTAGCCCAGCTGGCTCGGAGCCCTGCCCTCGGCCGCTGGTGAGTCATGTCCCGCCGCCCGCCACCTCCTCTGATGGTAACCGGGCCGCGGAGGAGCCCGGGGGCTGAGATGTGGGCCCCACGTGACTCAGCCCCCGACGCCTGTGCCCACCCTTCCAGGCCCTTAGGCCGGTGCACCGTCCTGTGGATGGTCTTTGCTTCCTCATTGCTGGTCTGTGTCCCGGCTTCCTCACCATCAGGCGAAGCCCGGGTCCCTCTCCCTCGGCACTGCTGACATGGGGCCGGGCCATCCTATGCACTGTAGGGTATCGGGCAGCATCCCCGGTTTCCACTCACTCGATGCCAGTAGTACCCCCCAGTTACAATCACAGGTATTCTCTGACATCACCCAGTATCCCCTGGGGGCAAATTCGCCCCAGATGAGAATTCCTGGGTTAGGGAATTCCACTGATCCCCAAGAGACTCTGCATGCCATAATAATCTGACCTACTGACATCCTAGGACGCTGCCCACATTTAAATCCACACACTGAGCTGGAGTGTCCCCTGGTTTATACCGTCCAACCCATCGAGAATTTATTCTGGTGTACGGTGTGAGGTAGGGATTGAACTCCGCTTTCTCCCCAGATAACTAACAGGGTTTCTCAGCCTCGGCACTGCCGACGTGGGGCTGGATCCTTTTCTGGGGTGGGGGCTGCCCTGTGTGCTTTAGGCTGTTGGGCAGCACCCCGTGTGTCAGAGTAGAACTGCACTCCACAGGGTTTTCAATGGCTTTGTTTTCAGAAGTAGATCACCAGGCCTTTTCTCTGAGGTGTCTCTAGGTGGTCTTGACTTTTCAACCTTTGGGTTAGCGTCCGAGCATGTTTGTACCACCCAGGGACGCCCTATCGCTATTTAGGGCCAGACAGCTCTCTGTGGGGGCCGTCCTGGGCACTGTAGGGTGTTGAGCAGCATCCATGGTTCCACCCACTCGAGGCCAGGAGCGTTCCCCCAGTAGACAACTACCAATGTCTCCACAGTCACCCCTGGTCAAGAACTGCTGGAAGTGACCGGCTGTGGCCCCGTCTTTGCAGTCTGGGAAGCCCTGGGGTTGGGCAGGCTGTTGGGGTCCATTAGGCCACCAGAGGTCCCGCTGTGGCATTGGGGGGGGGGGGCATGTGTCTGGCAGGGCTGGCGCCTGAGGATTGTGCCTCCCTTCCCTACAGGGACCGAATCCTTTTGAGCTGGCCTTCTCCCTAGACCAGGCCCACAACGGCAACGGGGACGCCGACTTCGGCCTGGAGTGCCCAGCCCGCCCTGGTGAGAGGCACCGGGGCAGGGGTTGTGTTGGGGGGCCCACGGGCAGGGGCGGGCAGGGCAGGGGCAGCCTCCTGAGCACGGGGCCTTCTCCACATCCTGGCACAGACATGCCAGCGAGCCAGCCCATCGACATCCCAGATGCCAAGAAGAGGGGCAAGAAGAAGAAGCGGTGCCGGGCCACCGACAGCTTCTCGGGCCGGTTTGAAGGTGAGGGAGCGCGAGTGCAGGGCGGCGGGTGGGGGACCCGGCGGCCAAGGGCGGCCCTCACCCCCTCCCCCACCACCCCCAGACGTGTACCAGCTGCAAGAGGATGTGCTGGGCGAGGGCGCGCACGCCCGCGTGCAGACCTGCGTCAACCTTATCACCAACCAGGAGTACGCTGTCAAGGTGAGCACCTGGCCCCGTCCACCCTGCGCCCCCTGCCACCCGGTGCCCCCCCACCACCCGGTGCTAGGCACCACCAGGGAGGGAGGAGGGGAGGTGGTACTAGGGCTACGGGGACTTCCCGTGGGGAAAATTGGTGTCTAAATATGACCCCTGCGTGTGACCTGCCTGCAGGGGCGAGCTGGGCCCCCAAGGTGGGCGGGAGGAGATGATGAGGGGCAACCCCTCCCTGCTTCCTCTTGCCAGGTGGCTGCCAGGGTCGCAGTCAGAGCCACCACTGGGTCACTTCTAGTGAATGCCCTGGCGCTGGGTGCCCTGAGCCCTGTCCCTGGGGACAGGTGCTTCCACGTATCAGATACAAGGATAAGAGGGAGACGGCATCGTACCTGGGGTGCCCCGGGGATCGGTGTCAGGGGAACCCTGCGTGTGGCTGAGCAGCCAGGGGCCCCATGGAGGTCCCAGCTGCTGCCTTGTGACCTTGGCAATCCAGCATTCCAACTGCTGTGAGGCTGCCCAGGGTGCCCACGTGACCACCACCCACTGCATCTGGGTTGGGCACGGCTGTCTGGGTGGGTCACGTGGGCTGCCTTCCCACAGGAGTGCCAGGTGCTCCCTAGTGAGTGGGCTGGCCTGGGGCCCTGGTGGAAGTCCAGGCTGCGACAGGCCCCAGCCGCGGAAACCGCCCTCTGAGCCACATGGGTGAGCAGGGAGAGGGCATGATCCCTGCCTCTGCAGCACCCATCAACCTCTGCAGGCTGGTGAGGGAGGGGTCGGCCTCACCTCTCAGAGGTTAACTTGGTGGGGGGCTGGCACCTGGTCACAGCAGGGACAGCAGCTATGGTCCCTGCCCCGGAACTTACTCGCTGGGGCAGCTCAAGTCCTGCACGCCAGGCATCCTGGGCTGGGCAGTCCTTGCCTGGCATATAAGAAAACAGGCTCGATGGGGTCTAGTACCCTGACTCACGCTGCGTGGGCGCACGGGGGCCACATGCCCAGGGACTGGCTGCTGGACGCCGTATGGTGGGTGCTGGGATCAGGGAAACCCAGACGGCTCTTCGGCGAAGGGGAGCTGGGCGGGCTGGGAGAGGCGCCTGGGGACCAGGCAGGCTGAGGTGGAGGGTGGGGTGGGGCAGCTCAATTTGCACGCCATGGGGGGCTCTGGGGTCCTGGTAGCCTGGCCGGGCCAGGGGCCGTGGGAAGAGGATGAGCCTGCAGACCGTCTGGGGCGCGGCTCGGGCCTCTGCCCGGAGGACTCAGGTGTTGGTGCCCGAGGAGGCCGCTTTGGGGTTGCTTGCTCTCCTGTTAATGTGAACACAAATCGCAGGTCCCGTGACTTAGAAAGGAGGAGAAGCACGTGGGAGGCTGCAGTGCGTGTGACTGCCCCCCAGGAAGGACCCCAGTCTCCTCTGGCAAGTGGGAGGACTAGTGGATTCTGAAGGGTCAGGAAATTTCGTCCCAAACTGTCTGGGGCTTTGGTATTGGGTAGCAGCATTCTGAGGCCCTGGGGTTTGGTGGCCTGGCCCAGGGCCCCACCTGGAAGGAGTTTCCCAGTGGGAGGACTGGGGTGAGAGCTGGAGGCACGTGCTGACCTCCATCCTATGATCAGCAGTGGCTAAGGGCCACCTGGGAGGGGACCCAGGGCCCTCAGTCCTTAGAGCCATGGGGTGCCAGAGAATCCTGGCTGGTGACTCCCTGAGCTCAGGGTCCTGGGTGTCTGTCACAGCCAGTCGTGGCTGAAACTGCCCAGGCTCACGGGGCCGGTGGCATTTACCCAGGCTGGCCTGCGGCCAGCAGCCAGGACTGCTGGGCTGGCAGCCAGCGGCCCGTGGCCTCCCCAGGCCCTCTGGTGGTGTTGGTCTGGCGCCTTACCAGCGCCTGCCTCGGGGAGTGGCTGGTGGCCACCCCAGACCTCGACCCCAGCATTAGCAGGACAGAGAGGAGGCCACTCTTTTTCTCCCAGGGACCCCGTATCCTATAGGAGGCATTTTGCAGAGACCCCCAGTCTGCCTCCGAGGCCTGCCAGTGTCAAGGGTGGCTAGCTGCCTGGCTCATCTGTGCCCTTCCCGCCCTGTCCCCCTCCGTGTCACTCCTGCCCGTGCTGACTCTGCAATTCCAGCTTCCGTCGAATTCCAGGACCGCACAGGACAGCTCTGCTTTCTGGAGCTAGAGGCCTAAGCTTAAAGGGTGGCCTTTCGGGCTTTGTGGGGGGAACGTTCCTGGAGGAGATGCCTGTCCCCCGGCTGTGGAGGCCCTGGCTGACCCAGTTCCTCACCTCGGTTTCAGATCATCGAGAAGCAGCCGGGGCACATCCGGAGCAGGGTGTTCCGGGAAGTGGAGATGCTGTACCAGTGCCAGGGTCACAGGTAAGGCACTCCAGGTAGAGGCCACCACACTGCCTGGCCCACGCTGCCTGCCCGTGTGCTGCATAACGCCCGCACGCATTTACCAAGCACCTATCGCGTACCCGGCCCCGTACGCGTTTATTGAGCACACGCTGTGGACTGTACCACTGTGCATTTCAAATTTCTCGAGCACCTGCCATGTACCAAGGAGCTCTGCTGGTGCAGTAGTTAAAGCACTTGGCTGCTAACCAAAAGGTTAGCAGTTTGAACCCACCAGCTGCTCTGTGGGAGAAAGATCTGGCAGCCTGCTTCCTTAAAGGTTTAGTCTTGGAAACCCCATGGGGCAGTTCTGCTCTGTTCCATAGGGTCGTTATGAGTTGGAATTAACTCGTCAGCAATGGGTTTTGGGCCCCGTGTGCTTTCACTGAGTGCCTGCTGTGTACATGGCCATGTACATTTTATTGAGCACCTATAACATACCGCGTGCACACATATTGAGTGCCTACTAGTATCAGGTCCGGTGTGGGGTGTGTGGGTGGATCCTCTCCGGGAATGGGGAGGGCGTGTGTGAAAGCCTTCCTGTGGGGGGAGTCCACAGCTCCTCTCCTGCGCCCCCTCCCCCCAGGAATGTTCTGGAGCTGATCGAGTTCTTCGAGGAGGAGGATCGCTTCTACCTGGTGTTTGAGAAGATGCGGGGAGGTGCGCGGTGTGGGCTCCTGGCCGTGGGAGGCGGGGTGGGGGTCCCAGCCTAGCAGCTGGGAGACGTTTCCAGCTGGGTCCTAATGGGAGGGGGGCCTGTGGGAGAGAGGGTGGGTGCTGGGCTGCGACCTGGGGACTGGGGTGGAGCCCCATGTGTCCCCTCACTGCCCCTACTGTCACCACCGCTGCCGCCCAGGCTCCATCCTGAACCACATTCACCAGCGCCGGCACTTCAATGAGCTGGAGGCCAGCGTGGTGGTGCAGAACGTGGCCAGCGCCCTGGACTTCCTGCACAACAAAGGTGGGTGCCCAGGTCCCCGCCCGCCTTCCCAGGCGTCTTGGAAGACATCCGACGCTCAGCACTAACCCCGCTCTGGTCCTGTTGGCCTCTCCCCCCGCAGGCATCGCCCACCGGGACCTCAAGCCTGAGAACATCCTGTGTGAGCACCCCAACCAGGTGAGGAACAATGCGAGGAGGCCCCGCCCACCACCGGGGTCCCGGGGTCCCCTGACCCTCCTCCCGCGGGGCGTGGGGACCGCCAGGGTGGGCACGGCTGGAGGAGCCTCAGGCTAGGACCGGCCCTTACCACCCCTCTTCCCTTACCCCCCCCGGCCCGGCCCCCCAGGTCTCCCCCGTGAAGATCTGCGACTTCGACCTGGGCAGCGGCATCAAGCTCAACGGGGACTGTTCCCCAATTTCCACGCCGGAGCTGCTCACCCCGGTAAGCGCCGCGGGCCTGACGGCTGGAGCGCTCTGAGCTTGGGCTTCCGCTCGGCAACAGCCACCAATTGGCTGGGCACAGTGGGCGGGCTCCCATTGACTGCCGCTGATTGGCCGGGTGGGGGGTGGGGAGCGGGGCGGAGGTCAGGCGGGGCGGGGCCGACTCCCAGCGTCAGCCGCTGACTGGCGGGACAGGATAGTCAGACACCGCGGGGGGCGGGGCCGAGGTTGGTCGTGGGCGGGGCGGGCTGCTTCAGCGGCAGCCGCTGATTGGCGGGGCGGGATAGTCAGACGCCGGCGGTGTGGGATAGTCAGACGCCGGCGGTGTGGGGCTGGCACACGACCGCGGCGCACTGTGCAGGTGGGCGGGGCCGCGGCCGGCGAGGGGTGGGGCGGGCTCCCAGCCGCAGGCCTGTTTGGCCGAGCCGGGTGGTGGGCGCGCAGGGGGCGGAGCCCAGGTCATGGCGGGTCCAAGTGCCCCGGGACTGCACTGTGGGCGGAAGCTGCCTGCGGGCGGGGTGGACAGGAAGGGTGGCGGTCTGACGCTCCCCCGCCTGCAGTGCGGCTCGGCCGAGTACATGGCTCCTGAAGTGGTGGAGGCCTTCAGCGAGGAGGCCAGCATCTACGACAAGCGCTGCGACCTGTGGAGCCTCGGCGTCATCCTCTACATCCTGCTCAGCGGCTACCCGCCCTTCGTGGGCCACTGCGGCAGCGACTGCGGCTGGGACCGCGGGGAGGCCTGCCCAGCCTGCCAGGTGCGGTGGGGCCGCGCGCAGGGGGGTGTCCACGTGGCAGTGGGGCCTTAGGGATAGGGGATAGTTGCGGGGTGGCCCCTGACCAAGTGGCCGGAGAGTGCTAGTTCCCGGGATTTCAGTTGTTGCCTGCAGAGATGGCCAAGCAGGGAGGCGGAGATCAGGGAACTGAGAGATGGGTGAGGTCAGGGGTGGGGTGCGGCGTCAGCTCTGTCTCCTGCCCAGGGAAACTGTCGTCAGGATTCTCCATCTTCCCCCTCCCCGCAGCCCGTGTTCTGTAAACAAGCCCCACGTGGGTGGACCGCGCCCCTCACCTTGTCCGTCAGGCTTCCTGGTCTGGCCCTAGCTCTCTCTCGCCGTTCTCTCTCCTCTTCTTTAGCCACCCAGAATCCCCTTACCCTACCTGCCGAGCCCAGGGCCCCGCAGGTGGGTTTGCCGGCATCTGTGTGCTGCCAGCGGGCAGCTTCCCCTCTCTCTGGCAGTCCGCGCTGACCCCTATCCTGTGCAACCCCCAGAACATGTTGTTTGAGAGCATCCAGGAGGGCAAGTATGAGTTCCCAGACAAGGACTGGGCCCACATCTCCTTCGCCGCCAAAGACCTCATCTCCAAGCTCCTCGTGCGCGACGCCAAGCAGAGGCTGAGCGCTGCTCAGGTCCTGCAGCACCCCTGGGTGCAGGGGGTGAGTGAGGGGCTGGGAGCGAGATGGAGTGCATGCGGGGACATAGGGCTGGGCGGGGGTGCCTGTTCCACTGAGCTCCAAGGCCCTGCAGCACCCCTGGGTGCTGGGGGTGAGATGGGGTGGGTGTGGGGACAGAAGACTGGGGAGCACCACTTCCCCTGAGTGCCCAGGTCCTGCAGCACCCCTGGGTGGACGGGCTGATTGAGGGGCTGGGGGTGAGTGTGAGGACAGAGGGCTGGGCAGCGCCAGTTTCCCTGAGTGTGCAGGCCCTGCAGCACCCCTGGGTACAGGCCGTGAGTGTGGGGGGTTGCAAGCTCCCCCGAGAGCTGCATTTCTGGAGCCAGTGCAGAACCCTCAGAGGGCCAAGTGTGAGCCTCGGGTGCAGTGTGAGTGTGGGTTCGGTCACAGGCATTCTCTGGGGGCCTCCTGGGCCGAGCACAGCCCAAGGGACAAGAGGATAGCAACAGGGAAATCCAGGCAACACCCAACAGGGGAGCAGGTCAGCCCGAGAGAGAGCAGGGGCTGCCAGGGCCAGCTCGGACCCAGACTGCAAACCTGTCTCAGGCTCTGTCTCGGTTCAGGAAACCAAGTTCACTGTTCCTCCCAGCCAGTGCTTTCCTGCGCCTGCCCTCCCCATGGTGGGGGCTAGCAGGCATGACTGCCGACAAAAGCCGGATTCCTTGAGGCTCTGCAGCTTCCTCTCCATGACATTTCTGAGTGTTGAGGCCATGAGATGCCCCCAGGGGGACAGAGACCAGGCCCTGTTCTTGCAGGGAGGGTGTGACGGCATGCCAAGTGGCACATGAGGACTGGTACCGGGTACCAAATGAACCCTTTCTGGGAGGATCTGGACCCCCGTATGTGGAGGAGGGGAGGGGCTCCGCGTTTTCATTCGTTGGTTCGTTGTTGGGGGCCTGTGATTTACCCCACTCTCTCAGTGAATGCGCCATGCTCAGGCTCCTGTAACCTCCCTGCCGTGGGGACCCGGGGTGGGGGGGGCGGTGTCTGAGCAGGGCTGCTGGGCAGAGTGGCCATAGGGGCAGCCAGGGGCTGGGAGACCATCGTGGAACGGAGGGTACAGAAGCAGGTGTGTGGGAGGTGTCAGGGTCCCCCAGGTATCTGGCCCGATGGGGGGTGCCTTGCGGTAGCCCGTTTTGGGGGGTAGCTCTGCGGTGGGCTTGTTTAGGGTGAGAAGTCTGGGAGGTGTCCACGTGGTGTTGTGGTGTGAGGAAAGGCCTGGGGTCGCCGGCAGACCGCAAGTAGGGCGGGTGGAGGATCCCCGCAGGTGCGCGGGCGACCCGGTGGTAGAGGCACACCCCCACCCCTGCTGGGAGGCCGAGGCGGTCCACTGGGGTTTTGCAGTCCTGGACTTGGAGGCAGAATTCTGACTGGGGGGGGCGCCAGACATCTCCTTCCCCAGGGTATCCCGCCTCTTCAGCCGCGCCCCTGTCTTTGCAGTGCGCCCCAGAGAACACGCTGCCCACGCCTATGGTCCTGCAGAGGTGAGGCCCCTCGGAGCACGGGGGACCCGCCGGCCTTGAGTAACCCCGATGTGGGGTGGGGGTGGGGGGCGGCCACAGCCCACTGCCCCTGCTCCTCTAGTGACCGCCCGCCGCCCCTCCCCCCCAGGAACAGCTGTGCCAAAGACCTGACGTCCTTCGCGGCCGAGGCCATCGCCATGAACCGGCAGCTGGCCCAGCGCGAAGAGGACGCGGATGGCGAGGCAGGGCCCGGCAGGCCCGTTCTCATCCGAGCTACCTCACGCTGCCTGCAGCTGTCGCCGCCCGCGCAGTCGCAGCTGGCCCAGCGGCGCCAGAGGGCCAGCCTGTCCCGGGCCCCCGCGCCCGTGGTCCTTGTGGGCGACCGCGCGTGAGC